TATTTATCCTAAAATTAATCCTAAAAATAGACACAAATGAGTCAATAGTTCATACTGTAAATCACTGTAGTCATACAGTAGGAGTATAAAGTTATCAAATGAATGGAAAGCAGCTCAAATCATTGATCTTTGGAGACTTTGATGAGAAATGTTTGAGCTCATATTGAGATCTCTGACTTCTGATGCAGACTTTGGCATCTTGAGCACAGTTTGAGATTGTTTTTCTCATCCGAGAAGCAGGATTTTCTATTTGCCATGCATTTTATCATTTAAACTGCTATTTAGGAGAAACCTCCGCGACATTAAACAGATCTATCAATCTGTGTCTCCTCACAAAAACACCTGACTCGGAGCATGCTGGTCCAATCACAGAGAGGCTGTGGGCAGCTGTCTGCTCCATCTGTCTGCTGTCGGTTCGAGTGCTGAGCGCCGGTGCTCTTTAACTCTGTGAGTCTGGCTGTGTGTTCACTGTCTGTCTCTCTCTCTCTCTCCCTCCGTCTGTCTCTCTCATGGCCTCCGAGCACTCATCCGCTGAGAGTCGCTCCTCGCACCTGAGCTCTGACCCGACCATCGGCACCGACGCTTCGGCCAACAGCATGTGGGAGGAGAGCTTCGACACAGAGAAGTAAGACTTCACTTGCTTTTCTCTAACACACAGCAACTCTGAACAGTGTCTGGACAACTAATCCCACTCACAGACGATTAGATCCAACACACCTGTCTATAATGAACAAATAAAGCCTTAATTAATCGCTTCAGGTGCATTTAATTAGAAGCTCTCCAGAACCAGGAATGAAGAACTATGACAAAATATCGGTGTAAGAAAAGAAAGTGCAAAATTAATTTTTAATGCAAAACATTTAACAAAAAGATAATTGGGTAACACTGTACAATAAGGATCCATTAGTTAATTACATTAGCTAACATTAGTAATAACAAAAAAACATTAGTTAATGTTAATTTCAACATTTACCAATATATTAATACAATCAAAAGTTATATTTGTTCATATTATTTAATGGGCCTGAACTAACAATGACAAATAATTTTAAAATGTTTATTAATCTTAGTTAATTTTAATATCAACATTTACTAATACATTATTAAAATTAAAAGTTGTATTTGTTAATATTATTTAATGCATGGGTCTGCACTAACAATGAACTGCTGTATTTTTAATAACTAACATGAACTAATATTAATAAATACTATAACAAATGAATTAGTCATCGTTAATTCATGCTAAAATAAAAGATGCATTTGGCCATTTTTTGGTTGCTAAAATTAAGTTTGAAGGCAAAGCAGTAACATTCAAATCTTAAATGTCGCTAATATAGTAAAATAGCAACGCATTCGTTTATTGATGATTTTAGCAGTAACTGATCTCTCAGATGGTTCTCAGGTTTTTATTTAGAGAAAAAGTCCCTATAGAAATCTCATCTTTGTCTCAAACATTTCTCATCAGATTCTCCACATTCATTTGATAGTTCTATACTCTTACTGTACGACAACTACTGACCCATGTGTGTTTGTTCATTCCTCCTAAAGCATTATTTACCTCTCAGAGAAACTTCTGAGACAAACCGAGTTTGAAAAGCCCCTCCATGAGCATGAAATAATTCCTCCTGGTTTGTTTAACACATGCAGCCTTACATTTCTTTTGACTCTTAATTAAAGATGAATAACCTGCAAGAAACCAGCGGGGGTTTCGCTTGTGCTTAAATGCTTAAAACCCCTAAATGAACTCAAAAACTATTTGAAAATCAAGCAAAAGCAACATGGATCACTTCCTGTTGATTAAAGCTTTAGATTGGATGGACAGTTGCTTAATCAGCATTATAAGCCCAATTGCGTATGATTTGATTTGACTTGAATTATTTATATCTGGAACACAAACAGTGCATGATGAGTTACACAATTAAGTTTAATACTTTAAACTTTATTAATAGTGATGCTTGACTTACACTACTGTTCAAAATGGTTGATGAGACTCACCAAGGCTGCATTTGTTTGATCAAAAATACAGTAAAATTGTGAAATATTTTTATAATTTCAAATAGCTGGTTTCTATGTGAATATCTGTTCAACTGTAATTTATTTCTGTGATGCGCAGCTGAATTTTCAGCATCATTACTCCAGTCTTCAGTGTCACATGATCTTCAGAAATCAGTATATAGTTGCTGCTCAAGAAACATTTCTGATTATTATCAATGTTGAAAACAGTTGTGCTTCCCAATATTTTGTGGAAAACGGGATGCATTTTATTTTTCAGGATTCACAGATGAATAGAACGTTCAAAGAAACAGCATTTATTTGAAATAGAAATCTTTTGTAACATTCTAAATGTCTTTACTGTCACTTTTGATCAGTTTAATGCGTCCTTTGAGCCGAGAGCTGAATCCTTCACTCCCAGCTCTCTGTCTTTCAGTCATGGTGTGAGCACTAAGAGAGATTACTCTCCCGTGTCCTGGAGCGAATACTTTGAAATGATGGACGACGTGGTCATCAGGTCAGGAGAGACTAAGGATATATCCTTCACACACTCACACACACGGCTCTTTGTGTGGATCAGAGATCACAGTTTGTGTGTGTATGGTAACAGATGTGTGTATGACTATTATTCCTTGACTGAGTTGTGTGTGCACATGTTTCGTGTGTATAAAAGCGGTCAGGACGGACCACTGCTGGTTCTGCTTCACGGAGGAGGGCATTCGGCTCTGTCCTGGGCCGTTTTTACGGTACAAACACACACTTAAACTATATCTTGGTTTAGAACAGAGCCTGTATACGTCAGAATTGTCAACTTTCTTCTATTATTTATATTATATAAAGATAATTATGAATGTAAACAACCTATACCTAAAAAAATCCATAAATGTGTATGACGTCACACAGAAACGTTCACTTTTAAGCAAGTAAAATGCATCAGTGACTCTGAATAGGACGCAGCATTATTACTCACACCAGCAAAGCAGTGTACTATTAACAATTAGTTTTTGTTTTTATATTTTCTGTTTTTTTTTCATTTTATTTAACATTTTAGTTTTTTGTTGTTTTTGTCATTTTCGTTAGTTTTTTTTATATATATATTTTGAATTAGTTTTTACTTTGTATTTTCCATTTACATTTTCCATTTTTTTGGTTTTGACATTTTTATTAGTTATTGTTTTTTTATTTTGAATGAGATTATTTTTGCATTTTACATTTCCGTTTTAATTTTAGTTAACATTTTAGTTGTGTCACTTTTATTTTTTTTGGACGGACCACTGCTGGTTCTGCTTCACGGAGGAGGGCATTCGGCTCTGTCCTGGGCCGTTTTTACGGTACAAACACACACTTAAACTATATCTTGGTTTAGAACAGAGCCTGTATACGTCAGAATTGTCAACTTTCTTCTATTATTTATATTATATAAAGATAATTATGAATGTAAACAACCTATACCTAAAAAAATCCATAAATGTGTATGACGTCACACAGAAACGTTCACTTTTAAGCAAGTAAAATGCATCAGTGACTCTGAATAGGACGCAGCATTATTACTCACACCAGCAAAGCAGTGTACTATTAAAACAATTAGTTTTTGTTTTTATATTTTCTGTTTTTCATTTTATTTAACATTTTAGTTTTTTGTTGTTTTTGTCATTTTCGTTAGTTTTTTTTATATATATATTTTGAATTAGTTTTTACTTTGTATTTTCCATTTCCATTTTCCATTTTTTTGGTTTTGACATTTTTATTAGTTATTGTTTTTTTATTTTGAATGAGATTATTTTTGCATTTTACATTTCCGTTTTAATTTTAGTTAACATTTTAGTTGTGTCACTTTTATTTTTTTTTATATTTTTAATTTAATTTAATTTTGTATTTTCCATTTTTATTTTAAAATTAGTTCGTGTTTTAGTAGTTTTGTTTTGTGTTTTTTACATTTTTATTTGTTATTGTTTTTCAATATTTTGAATTAGTTTTATTTTTGCATTTTACGTTTTCATTTTATTTTAGTTAACATTTTAGTAATTTTGTTGTTTTTATCATTTTTGTAAGTAATTTTTTTTTAATAGTTTGAATTTTTTATCTTGTATTTGCCAGTTCCATTTGAATTTTAACCTATCAGTAATCTTGTTGTTTGTTTGTGACATTTTTATTTATTTATTTTAATATTTTGAATATTTTAGTTAAAGATTTAGTCATTTTATTTTGTTTTTGTCTTTTTTTATTAGTTACTGTTTTCCCCTATTTTTTTGTCTATTGTTTTTATTAATTTTTTATTTAAGTTTTAGTTATTTTAGTATAACTCAGGTTTTATTTATATATATTCTTTTTTCTTTTTTTTCAGTTAATATTTATTTTAAGACAAAACAAAAATGTTTGGTAACGTTTACTTGAAGCCTTTATCTATAATGCATTATAAAGTTATTTTTATTGTCATGCATTATATATTTTTAGAAATAATTGTATATTGCATTAAAATATTTGCAAAATCTTATCTGAAATGTAGCTTTTTTCCTCTATGGGCTAAAAAAATAAAAAAGTGACTTTTTATCTCAAAATATCTCAAAATGACAATAAAAAACTCAGAGTTGCGAAATATAAACTCGCAATTGTGAGGGAAAAAATAGAATTGTGAGATAAATTGTCACAATTACTTTTTTTAAACCATGGCAATAGATACTGTTTTTTTCTCATGTGTTATAATCTATTATACTTTCTCAAGGAGTAACTGAATAGTGTTTGTTATAATGCATTCTAACTGTGGTTAGAATTATTAATGCGATCATACTGACCATAATGAGATTAATGCATTAAAAATACTTTTATATTGCATTATATATAAAGGCTTCAAGTAAAGTGATACCAAATGTTTTTTATGGATTTAACTATAATAACTCTGCAACGGGAATTCATTCATGTCTCACTTCATGATGAATAATGAGTTTCTCCTCAACAGGCAGCGATGGCCAGTCGGGTCACTTGTCGGGTGTTGGCCATGGATCTCAGGGGTCACGGTGAGATCAAACTTCTAGCTTTAGTTTAGGTTTAACCTGCAGCAGTTACCCGTGTGCACTGATCTGACTAGTACAATCACAAACAGGTGCTACTCAGGTCCGGCACGTCGATGACCTCTCCACACAAACCATGTCCAGGTAAAACACGCACAGATATCATTAACAGGCTGTAGTATTCAGAGCTGACCAATCACCTCCTCTGCTCACAGAGACGTAGCCAATGTGGTGCGAGCGACGTACGGCGAGACCCCGCCCCCCATCATCCTGGTGGGTCACAATGTGGGCGGAGCCATCGCGGTGCATGCGTCCAGTGGAGCGCTGCTTCCCTCTGTGGTGGGGCTGGTGGCCATCGACGTGGTGGAGGGTGAGAAACACTGCGTCATCTGTCAATATGAACCAGCATCATCGTCAAAATGCATGCACTGATATCACAAAAAAAACAAAACTACTACTACTTCTGCTACTACTACAACTAATAATAATACAAATAAATACAAAACATGTATATAAAAATGTATCGCATCCAAAATAAAAGTTTTTGTTTACATAATATATGTGTGTGTACTGTGTATATTTATTATGTATATATAAATACAAACGTATGCATGTATATATATATATATATATAATAAAAATATGTTATGTTTACATATTAAATATATTTATATATAATATAAAATATAAGAATATGAATATATAAATGTATAAA